TAGGCAAAGTCCCCACAAACTTGACTATTGAACCCATTGCCTCTGAGCTCCTCGCGGTGAGTAACCACATGTTTGACGGAACTTAACCTGGAGTTACCGCGGTACTCAAGCAATATTCGGGATCTCGCTTCCTGAATCCGCACCAGCCCCGGCTCCCAGCCCTCCCACCAGCCTTTGAGGACGCGCTCGAGTAGACTTGGGAGAGACGCTACTGGGGCCCGGACGAAAACGCTGTCAAACGAGACGTCTCCAGGACTCCTGGGCCTGCAGGCGCACAGCCAGCGCCAGCTCTTGGGGCCCTGCACTTTCCCGAGCCGCCGGCTCTCGCTGACCGCACCCCTACCCCCAGGTACCCGCGCCGGGGGTCGGCCAGAGGACTGTCGGAGCGTGGAGGTGGGGAAGACCTCTGCGCCGGTAAGAAGACACAGCTTGTGGGTGATTTTTGCAGTGACCTCTTTACCCGTAAGCGGGAAAGCTCTCAGCCAAGAGCCCTCTGAAACTGCGGAGGTCACACTTGGTTCAGGGTATCCTTTGATTTTTGCCCACCTCGTCTAACCATTATTAATATTGATCTGGAAAGGGACGGAAGGAAATAGCTTCCAGAGGGTTGTTCCCCACCCCCGACACACACACAAATTTGCCCAGCTCAGAAGCCCCCTTATTGATGGCGGAGTGGGATATACGCTCACCTTGGGACTTACCGGTCCCAGGCTCCTTTTCAGACCTCGTCACCCAGTTTCCGAGGAAAAGGGAAGGGCACGTTTATTCATGCCAGCGGAGGTCGCCCAAGGGTGGCGAGGGCCTCCGTCTGGGACCCACCAGTCTCTCCCCCACTGCGGGCCGAGGCTGGAGGGGCTTCCCGGCGAGGCTAGCGTGCTCGGCGCGGGACAGCTGGAGTGCACGGCGGTCAACCCAGCCTCCGCTCTCCGGCCCCGCCGGGAATCTGTTCCGCTATATGCTGTCGGATGCGCCCGCTGGGGCCAGTTGTCACCAGCAGTTCTAGAAACCCAATAACCGAAAACCGAGTCCTGCTTCCAAGAGGGTTGTACGTGTAGATTCGGTGTTCCTTGTCAGGCGGTGCGCTCGACCCCCCTCCTCCCCCTTTCCCTCCTGAGCTCAAGTAAACTCGCCAGGTCCGCTGCGGCAGGAGAGAGCGGAAGTGTTTCTCGCCTGATAGGACGGATGGTAAGAGAGAGGGAATTAGAAGCCATATACAGCCCGAAATTAGGCAGGGAGCAGTCTGGGACGCTCCCGGGCTAAATGCTACTGCGCAAAGCGCAGAAGTCCACTACACTCTTTACTCGTTGTGACATTTCCAAGCCGACAATCTCGCCTTAAGCACGCTTGTGGTTTGGAGCTGCTGATTTTATATGCATTTTATCGTTCAGAACGAGCAACAGGGCAGGACCAGCGGAAACCCGATTCTAACCTATTTCTACAGACCTCTGCCCACGCAACTCTGTAAGTGCCAAACTACGAGTTGGAGAGAAACAACTCA